GTTAACGGCAGTTTTTCCTTCCCTGTGTCGCCTAGTGCTTGCTCTTGCTGGGAATTGTTGGGTTTCTGTAAATAACTTCAGAGTCTGAGCTGCTCTGTTTGGAAAGCTGGGAGATAACTGTAGTAATAATGTGGAGCTATAGGAATAAAAGTGAATTGAGTTATATAGATAAAATAGAATTGAGTTACTCACTCTGACCAGTCGGAGACGTAGCAGAACATGAGGCGGCGCGCGTGATAGGGCAGCCAGCACACCACGAAGGCTATGACCACCGCTCCTGAGCATAAAAGAAGAGAAAAAAAGGGGGTCACCCAAAGCCCAGAAAGCCAAATGGAGGGGACTCAAAACTGACCCGGAAAGGACAGGACGCCTGTGTTTTATTACATGTGACGTGAGGAACTGGGAGGGGAGAAAATGAGCTCTGGACACATGTTAGCATGTTAGCATTTCTAATGCGAGACAAATCAATTCGACCTCAAAGGAAACCGAAATTCGATAAAGATGTGAGCTGATTAAAGCTCCCGCCGCTAATGTGGGAGATGGTGTGAATCAGAATTAGAATCAGAAATACTTTAATAATCCCAGAGAGAAATTATTTTTGTTACTAATTCCAGAAATACAACAGCATATACATATATACATGTCTATATATATAGACCATTGTATATATATATATATATATACATATATATACAATTCCACACAGGATATAATTAAATTAAATTAAAGTATATATATAATACTTTAATAATCCCAGAGAGAAATTATTTTTGTCACTAACTCCAGAAATAAAACAACAGCATATACATATATACATGTCTATATATATATATATATATATATATATATATATACACAATTCCACACAGGATATAAATAAATATAATAAATAATAAATATAAATATTTGACCTTTGACCTCAAAGGAAACCAAAAGTCAATAAAGATGTGAGCTGATTAAAGCTCCCACCGCTAATGTGTGAGATGGGGTGAATCAGAATGAGAATCTGAAATACTTTAATAATCCCAGAGAGAAATTATTTTTGTTACTAATTCCAGAAATACAACAGCATATACATTTACACATGTCTATAGATATATATATTTATATATATATATACACACAATTCCACACAGGATATGAATAAATATAATAAATAATAAATATAGATATTCAACCTTTGACTTCAAAGGAAACCAAAAGTCAATAAAGATGTCAGAAATACTTTAATAATCCCCGAGGGAAATTATTTTTGTTACTAACTCCAGATATAAAACAACAGCATATACATATATACAGTGGGGGAAATAAGTATTTGACCCCTTGCTGATTTTGCAGGTTTGCCCACTTACAAAGAATGCTTATTTTTCCTCATCAGATGGTTATCAATTTTTATAAATTCATATGATCTGATTTTCTGGAATTTTCTTTGGGATTCTGTCTCTCACTGTTAGAATGTACATATGATTAAAGTTATAGATCGTTGCATTCTTTATAAGTGGGAAAACCTGCAAAATCAGCAAGGGGTCAAATACTTATTTCCCCCACTGTACATGCATATACAGTATATATATATATATATATATATACACAATTCCACACAGGATATAAATAAATATATACATAAGTAAGTAAATACATATATATATAGGTCTAAAATAAGTGATAATGATGATGCTGATAGATTAGTAAGAGTTCCTCCCTCTCCTAGTTTTCCGCCCCATCCACATCTGATCCACACCGGTCTGAATCTAGATCAGACTTTTGTCTGATTGTGGATCTCCTGCCTCCTCCCTGGAAACGGAGGCTGTGTGTGTGTCAGAAATCCCACTCAGTTCACTTCACTTCGACCAGGGGAAGGAGCTCCCTGCTCCGGGTCCTCTCTGGGACAAGGAAATGATTCACCCCAGAGAACCAGAGCTGAAAATGCAATTTAATAAAAAAACACTAGTAAGGAAATGAACCAAACCTCAGAAGGTTTAAGAAAACAACATACAGGACTGTCTCAGAAAATTAGAATATTGTGATAAAGTTCTTTATTTTCTGTAATGCAATTAA